ACGAGATAACCCCCCATCCTCTGAAGGGTCAGGATCTACCTCCCCCCACGAATGTCACACGCACCGAATCAAGCACCATGCAAATGGAAAGAGTTTATCAGCTCAGCTCAGACTTGATCGATCTAGACTGCTCACGCTCAAGATAAGCGTACGGTACAAACCAACGGACCCACTATGCCACAGAAACCTGGGGAAAAACCCAGCCGAGATCTAGGCGAGGGCAGGCAGGCAGGCAGCGTTGCCGTTTATCTCGGCACGGGAAGAAGGGCTCAGGCTGCGCTAGTAGCGTTGCCGACGCAGCCAATTGTAGGGGGACGCTTACGCTTGGATGATAGAGCATTACCTACCAGCACGTAGTAAGTACCTTTGGTTTGCTGGAATGGTTATCACGGGGTCTTGAGGCGGAGAGAAGAGGTAGGGGGTGCGGGGGTTCGATTGACGCTGGGATACATACATACGTGTACTGGGTCTTGGTATCTGTGGCGATATTAGATGTGTTGGATAAGTGTAGGGCTACGTAGCTAGTAGTTATAAGAGAGGATGCCCTGGGTGCGGTGATTCTGGGAGATACTTAGTCACGGCTCGTTCAGACCTCTTCTTTTCCTTTCAATTAAGGCCGACCGTTCACTGGATCTCGATTTGATTTCCTGTTGATCTTGATGCAGAGAATGACAACCCTCGCAGACGAGAAGAAACCGCCGCTCGAGATGGGGAAGGAGCTTGGGGGCTGCGAGAGCGTGGAGCATGGCTCGTCGACGGAGTTCTCGGCCGAGGCGGAGAGGAAGTTGGTGCGGAAGATTGATTTGATGTGTGTTTCTCTTTCTTCTTCTCCCAGGAATCAGCGGGCGGAGGAGGGCTGGAGTAATGCTGATGCTGATGGTCTAGGATCCTCCCCATCATGCTCGTCGCGTACATGATGTCCTTCATGGACAAACAGACCCTGAGCTATGCGGCCATCATGGGAATCATGGAGGATCTGCGCCTGACGGGGGCGGAGTATAGTTGGTCGTCGGCCATTTTCTACTTTGGTTATCTTGCGTTCAGGTTGGTCTGAGCTCTGTGGAAAGAGTTTGCGTGCTGGGAAATAACTGACGGGCTCAAGCTATCCGGCCTCGTTGCTGATGGTTCGATTTCCCTTGGGGAAGTATCTGGCGTGTACTTAGTATGGCTTCACTTTCTCAGAGTTCTGGGGAGGTGGACAGTGGCTTACGCGGATTACAGCATCGTCTGGGCGATCGTGCTCGCCTGCCACGCGGCCACGACCAACTTCACCGGACTGATGGTGGCCCGGTTCTTCCTGGGCTGCACCGAAGCCAGCGTCTCCCCCGGGTTCAGCCTCCTGACCTCGCTTTGGTACCGCACCGCCGAGCAGCCCCTGCGCCACGGGATCTGGTTCTGCGGCAACTCGCTGTCGCTGATCATCGGCGGTGCGATTGCCGTGGGGATCTGGCAGATCGAGACCAGCCTGGCTACCTGGAAGGTGAGTCCACAATACCCCAACCTCCCACTTGACTTGGTTACTGACCCGTGTAACCACCATCAGTGGCTATACATTATCTTCGGCCTGGTCACCTTTACCTGGGGCGTGGTCATGCTCTTCCGCCTCCCAGACTCCCCGACGAACGCCACGTTCCTCACCCCGGAGGAGAGAGTCATCGCCGTCGCGCGCCTGAAGTCGAACCGCGCTGGATACAAGACGAATCAGATCGATAAGAGTCAGATGGTGGAGGCGTGCACCGATCCCAAGACGTGGTTCCTGGGGGTGTTGATTCTGGGCTGCAATATCCCCAACGGGGGATACACCACGGTAGACTTTTCCTTCGTCCAAAACCCTGCCTCTCAATCCCGCTACTAATTCGCTTTGGGTGGCAGTTCTCAGGTCTAATCCTCAAGGGCTTCGGCTACAACACCATGAACACCCTCCTCCTCGGGATCCCCGGGGGATTCATCTCGTTCCTCGTGGTGTTAGCCTCGTAAGCCACCGCCCCCCTTTTCCCAACCCAGCAGCAAACTATACATGAGATCCCAGAATAGCTGATGAAGAGAAAGATGCTACGCCTCCTCCAAGATTCCCAACAGCCGCTGCACCGTCTCGATCATCCTATCATGTTCGAGGTACGTCTGCCCACCGCCTAGCATAGCCATCCTCATTCTCCCCAAGCTAAAACCCCCAAAGCATCCTAGGCACCGCCCTCGTTTACGCGACCCACCACAACGCCTCGCGCTACGTCGGCCTGATCCTTATGAGCTTCTACGCGGTCGCCATGCCCCTGTCCATGGCGCTGATCAGCGCTAACGTCGGCGGCGTGACCAAGCGCAGCACCGTCAGCGCCATCTACTTCATCCTGTACTGCGCGGGGAATATCATCGGGCCGCAGCTGTTTTTTGAGCGGCAGGCGCCGGTCTATCAGGTTTGTTACTCTCTCCTAGTTGGGCTAGGGATGTTCTCTGCTGTGGTGGGGTTGAGATATGGATACAGAACATGGGGCTGACCAAGGCAACAGAGCGGCTTCGTGGCGATCTTCGTGTGCTTGGCGGTGGTGGTGCTTGTGCTGGGGGGGTTGGTGGTGTATTTGAGGCGGGAGAATGCGAGGCGGGATAGGATGATGATGGGTACAACAGGGAGTGGGGAGCAGGAGGGCGAGGAAGAGCTGCTGGATGTGACGGATTTGAAGAATGAGCGGTTCAGGTATGTTTACTGATTAGATTGTACGTGGTCTACTTTATCTCGACAGAGATAGTCTTGGACTGATGTAGATGCATACCGTAGCCCTGCCTACAAAGATCATCATTAATTAGAATTATGAAAAGAAAATGGGGTTCAAATTCCATGTATCCATTCCATCTAGAGCATCGTTAGATAACTGAGAAATATTAGAAGATAAGTGGAAAGAGCGACAACGCAGCGGCGTTACATCAGTAGTATTCGAGCTCCTCACCCATGGCCCGCTTTGAACATTCCCATGATCACTGTATGGGGTTTATTTCTTCCTCATTGCTTGGATTATGAGTGATATTGACAGAGAAACACTTTACCATCCCTAATGAATATTGTAGGCGTCCGGAGTGACGCAATGAGGCCTCCAGCCTCCAGGATGCAAGGGCAATCTTCTTTGCCCGCCCTACCCGTCCGTCACCATCTCTCCCTACAACCTCACAACCGATATTTCGGTGCTTATACAGGGATCTGGACTCTGTGATGCGATGCTGGCAGCGGGGTCCACGTTCAGTTAAGGGTCTCTTGCCCGAACCGGAAGCAAGAGCCGCATACCGTCGATCCTGCAAACCACCTGCAGCCACTGTAAGAAAGCAGGCAAGAACTCAACATGCGGGCTACCCCGCCAATTATCTAGTACATGGCGGGCCAGTCATGCTATTTCCTGTCTTTCCTTACCTTCCCTTCATCAGCCGCTCGTTGGATCGCTCCCCCTCCGTGAAGCAGTTTGCTTGTCCAAGACTCAGCTGACCTACAAGCACTTCGACTAAAGATGGATTGCTGTTTACTGTTCGGAACTCTCTCTTTTTCCTTTCTTTTTTTCCTCTTCACAAGAGAGGCAATCGATACTTTATACGATCGATGCTTTATAGTAACAGTGGTTAGCCGAGACACCCGGCCCCTTGCCCTGCATGTATACATACACATTTGCAAACCAACCGTACTTAAGATTGGTGAACCGAGACACCCGGCCCCTTGCCCTCCATGTATACATACACATTTGCAAACCAACAGTAACAGTGAGTACTGCTAGAACAGTCACAAACCCCGCACAATTTTTGCTTACCCGTCGCTCGCTGACCCAAGACGTCTTTGCACGAGCTGATCCTTCTTCTGACTCGCGAATCAAAACCGCCAAGTGTAGGGCTCCGATAGTTGAGACAGCCAGTAAATGATGCACACAAACAACCACACGGCATTGATTCCGGGTCTATTGCCTCTGGCTACCAAAGGTGCCGAGTTCTACACAGATGAATTGGATAAGGCTGGACGACAACGGCAGTTGGCATTGAGCTGAACGGACATGAGCGTACTGGTATTTTAGTCCGAACCGGGGCACGCATGCACGCCACGGTCCCGGTAAAGCGGACGAACCATAATGTGCCAGCTGTGCAGCTTGAATTGTTTGCACCCTTGCATGTATGTATACTGAGCATCTGTCACGAGTATACTAAGGTCTCTCACTGTGAGCCATATGATATATACAAAAGAGACTTTTAGAATAGCATGACTCAGGTATCTACGAACTACACCTTCGTCCGAGCCTTGTGTGCTTGTTCTTCAAGCGATCTGCGTGATTCACACTCGAGCTATGTGATTACCCTGCATTCAGACACCCTGTAAGATGTGAATACAGAATAAAAGGTTGCGTCTGTTAAAGCCCGCCTGGTTATGGGATCAGGGCTCCACGAGAAGCATGCTGGCTGCTAATTCCGTGGAGTCCGATATCACTTATCATTCTTATCCCGCAGTACCCGAAGCTGCGTGCAGATCCCGCCCACAAACATGCTCCTGTTGAGAACACACGGAGCGAACCTTTGCCCGCGCGTGGTTGTGTGGCCATTCCCAGCTCAGGCGGAATTTGAGCCTCATATGTGATACTGACCCCGGTAGTCGGGTAGTCAAACCTTACATGGAGGGTCTAAGAACATGCAAGTTCATAAATGCATTCCACATTGGCCAAGGAAACACTACCATGCAGCTGAAATGGGTTGAGCACAACGCCAAGAAACTCCAACCCAAGAAGACGAGTTTGAACCCAGCCCTGCAAGTCAAAAACAGTCGGATGCAGCGCTAGATATCGAAAAAGCATGTAGTCTGTCAAGGCTATTGCAAAGCCTACGGAAGAGAGCAAGACTTGATTAAGAATAAATAAGACCATCTTTCCCACCAAATCGGAGCTCCAGAGCGCTTGACTACAATCACTTCTCCGTTCCACGACTTAACAGAAATAGACTCAAGACCCAGATCCCATAGCGCCAAGTGGTCATTAGATCTCGCAACCATGAGGTTCATCTACATCATCATCACCCTCTTCGCAAGCCTGGCACTTGCAGCCCCGGCCCCTGTCGACGCTGCGGCATTGCAAGTCGAAGCCGAACCAGACGTCCAGGCCGCCGAATACGATCCAAACGCCGACTGCAGTGCGCGTAATATCCATTGCGGTGTATGTGCAACTCTCTTGTTGAACTTCTCGCCCCCCAACCCACTGCGCACCCTTACCCTCCCTCTCCCTCCTTCTCGCCCCTCAGACATCCGTCAGACTAAATCCGTTGGTATTGTCCTTTGTGCCCTAGAAATGCAACGGTACAAGTTGCAAGATCGGTCTTACAAACTAGTAAGTTGTTTCTTTACTTGATTTGGGGACCTCAGTAGACTAACCCGGATATTGATATACAGTCCCTGCGACGAGGGCTCGGTAAGTTTCCCCTCACCACCCACCCCCCGCGCAACAACCCCGACATCGCATCTGACCTGGTTTTGGTTCGTGCTACAGTGCGTCGCGCAGAATGGAGGCGGAGATGGCAAGGGCTGCTACGATAACGCCTACGATACCCCCAGCCCCAGGCACATTCTTTGCCCCGGACGGCGCTAGGGTTGCTCCCGATGGTGTGGGCCGACCCAGGGAACCCATAGCTGAGTGAGCATGCCGGATACTCCGAGGTGGCTCAGTACATTATATGTTTGGGGAAGATCGGAAGGTCGGGTGGAGGGGAGTAGTACAGACTGGCGAAGGGATAATCGGGGCTCTAATCAGTCTCCAGTCACTCCTTATGGTATGATTGTTGATGAAAGACACGAGGGTTATGATTTATGATTGTTTTCTACTTTTGCCTTTTGACTCTGAACACCTTCTTCAACAGACTGGTGCATGCTGCCTTGAATTTTAGGATTCTTTTTACATTGAATTGATGCTGATTTTGTGACGGAACCCCTGAGGCCGGACGTTTTGATGCGCCGGATCAAGTCCAATTCTTCCAGACTGCATCGATCTCTGCAGTAGTTCAGGATATAACACAACATACTGGCTAAGATTGTCTAGATGAGTCGTCCGTCGATTGAGTTATTAATTTGTCTCTTCTACGTCTCAGAGGGCCAGTATGCATCTCCCTGGAAACACCGACAGCTGCTGTTCGCTGAAGCACAGGTTGGTAGCTGGGGCAGACAAGACCAGCAAACCGATCCACAGCAGACTGAACAGGAGAATCCATATGCACAGCACAGTACTTCACACATAACATATAGTGGAGTCCACGGATAACATTTCCCTCGGTGGCACGACTCCAGAGACTTCCTGTGATATGAGTCTGGAGACTTCCGCGACGAAACTAATCAAAAACCTGTCATGCTCGCTTATCTGCCCAAAATCGAGCCACTACTCTACGCGAACAACCCATGGAAAAGGAATTGTGAAATATGGACAAATCGGCCGATTCCGGATATCTATTCCCTGCTGCTCCCCTCACAGCTTGGCTTCACCCCCAACTAACCGCTTCCAATCCTTCTCCCCAAAGGGCACGTATCCCTCGGCCCCCGGAGGCAACCAATACAACCGATCACTCTGACCCCCCACAGCGTGGGTCCCCAGTTTGGCCGGCTCGACCCCTTCCTCGCGCAAGGGCACTTTATTCTGCTTGTGGTTGTGGATATGCGAGGTCTGCGTCACTAGCCGCAGGAACACCGGCACCGCGTAGCGCGGGAGACGGGCGCGCGCGAAATGCGCCAGCGCCGTGAAATCCAAAGCCCCCTTCGCGGCTGCCTCGGGGCTGAGTTGTAATGCGGCGCAGCCGGCGCGCCCATCGTGCGACGGCACCAGGACGCCGTAGACGTTGGCTTCCTGGATCCCTGGGAATTCGCCTAGGGCGTGAGAGACCTCGGCTGTGGAGCTGTTGCCATCAGTTAGGATGAGATTTCGGAGGGATTTCGGCTGGTGGGGTGGCAGGATTCAACCCACGTCGGGGAGACTTACACATTCTCACTCTTCCATCGGAAGGTATCGCCCAAGCGATCGAGGAAATACCACCGGCCGTCGGCGTCCCGCCGCAGGGCGTCGCCGGACCGATACCACAGATCCCCCCGTTGAAACACATCGCGCAGGAACTTCTTGTCCGTGGCCTCCTGGTTGCGCCAGTAGCCCGGGAAGGCCGACTCGGCGGGCACGCGCACGAGCATCTCGCCGCCGACCTCGTAGGGCTGGCGCACCGCGAAGCCGGTGACCGGGTCGCGCTGGACCTCCCCGGAGTGCGGGTCGATCGCGACCGGGGCATAGACGCCACGCATGAGCCACCGGGAGAGGGCGCCGTGGTGGCCGACGGCGCCGGCGGTGAAGGGCCCGCGGTTGTAGTTGTATAGGCTGAACACGCCCTCGGTGCTGTTGAAGAACTCGCCCACCTCGGCGATGCCGAACCGTTCCTGGAAGCGCGTCCACACGTCCGGCCGCAGCCCGTTGCCGTACATCATGCGCACGCGGTGCGCGCGGTCCAGCGGCGAGGGCGGCGCCGCCAGCAGGTACCGCGCGGTCTCGCCGACGTACACGAAGGCCGTCGCCTGGGCGTCGTAGACGTCGCGCCAGAAGTTGCGCACGCTGAAGCGCGGCGCGATCGCGATGCTCGTCCCGCGCACCAGCGCCACGATCAGCGCCACCGCCGACGTGCCGTGGTACAGCGGCATCGCGCTGTACCACCGGTCGCCGCCGGGGCCGACCCGGTCGCGCGTCGAGTACGCCCGCAGCCCGACGGCGACGTGCAGTCGCTCCATCCGGAAGGGGCATCCCTTCGGAAGTCCTGTCGTGCCGGAGGTGTAGAGCAGGATGGCGGGCGAGCTACCGGTCGTCTCGCGCGCCAGCCGGCCGTCTTCCGGGACCTCTGCCGGCAGGGTCGCGAGGACGGTGGTGGTGAAGGTTTCATCCAGGGTGATCAGCGTCAAGCCCAGTTCGGTCTCCAGGGTGGCTCGTCGGTCGTCAATCCGCGCCCGACATTCCGCGTCCGGGTCCACCAGGAGAAGCTTCGCGCCGCTGAGGGCCAGGCTGTGCACCAGCGCATCGCCGGTGAGATGGTAGTTGATGGCCGCCGGGGCGGCACCGATACTCCAGAGACCCAGCCACGCGAAGATGAATTCAGCGCGGTTTTGGAGGTAGAATGCGACCAGGTCGCCCGGCTGTACGCCGCGGTGGCGATAGAACTGGGCGTAGCGGGCGGCCGCGGCGAGCACCTCCCGGTAGGTGAAGGACCGCTCCCGCGTCCAGATGGCGGTCAGATCGGGGTACTTGGTAGCGGTTTCGATGAAATCGAACCACAGGTTGACCTGGCCTCGGCTTTGGGCTTGCTGAGTGCTGCGGGTGGCCTGCCGCACAGTGCGCAGCACCGCTAGATCTTTGGTCAGGTGAAACTTGGCATTGAGGTACGCGGCGGCCGTTAAAGCGGCAGCGGTTGCTACAGCCATCAGTATGTTGTAGTATCAGATTCGAAGAGGGAGAGCTGTACATACCTAAAGCCATAATGAAGTTGTTGAGGGTCAGAACACCAGGGTGGTGCTGGGTGGGTCACATATTTGTAGGGGGCAAAGGTTGAATTGCCGGACACCTCGGCTCGTCCGCCCATTCCGGCTCAACGCTTCATGCACAGACAGACAGACAGACAGACAGACAGAAACTTGGCTAGCGGGGTCCAAGTTGTTTTACTTTCATTGGCCACCGGCCTTTCTAGAAGGCCTGTTTCTTGCCTCATTATTGAGCTTGTTTGTCTCTGGGTTTGTTGCTTTTGTGTTCTGTGCAAAAGGCATTTCGGTGAGTGAGTAATGAATTCGACCCACCGAAGAATGCTACAATTCCTCGGTCGGCTACAACCTTCGCCTAGCAAGCTTATCAGGCTGAATAGAACGCAAAAGGAATCGATCCTTAACAGTCGGTGAGTTATTGCATGGATGGATCGAGCTAATTGCATCCCCCGCACTGGCAGCCACGCGTCCTCGTATTACCCCATCCGTGCACTCGGCTGTGTGCTGTCCAACGCCACCTCCTCACACCAAGTCTCGATACTCCGTGGTAGGAATCAATTTCTCATGCACGCCTTTTTCGCTCGGTTGGATTGTCTTCCACGCCCACGCTTCGTCTTTCTCGGGCCCGTTGCTCACCCCTTGCAGCACGTTCACCACATACCGCCCAATCGTGGGGAGAAACTTGTAGCTGTGGAATGAGCCTCCCACGGCGAGATAAAGGTTGGCCAGCCGAGAGTCGGGATGCCGAGTGATCAGTGGATGCTGGCTGGGGGAGATGGCGTCCCAGCAGAGGCGATACCACTCGGGCTGGCGACGTCCGCGGTCTAGAAATTCGGGCAGCCGGGGCCGGATTTCCTTCAGGTGCGCCTCCTGCATCTTCTCTGGGACTGTCAACTGATCAGAGACCGGCACAGAAATCTCGTGTCCTGATGCGGTGCGGATGGTGTTGGTAAAAGAGGAGGCCGTCGTAAACTTGAGGATCCCGTCTGCCGTGGGAGGAATCACCTCTCCTGGATAATCGTCAGCTTTGCAGGTATTCGAATAACAACAAAGCATTAACCTCACCCTGTCCGCCATAAACGAAGACCGGCAGCTGTGCGTAGCGCTCGTGCTCTGCGGGCGACAGACGGAAATGCGACACGCACACCCCTGCCGCGGTAATCTGTCGCTCGACCCGGTCCGCCTCGGGGAGATCCAGCTCATCCTCGATGGACGACATGAGCTGACTCGTCCACGCGCTGGTCGCCAGAACGATCTGGCTGGCCGTGTAGACCGTCCCGTCGGCGGTTTTCACCCCGAGCGCGCCGGTGTTGTCCCGTGTGATGCGACGCGCCTCGCCGATTTCAAACCGGACGCCCCGCTGGATGGCCTCCTGCGTCAGGACCTGCAGCGCCTTGCCCGCATCGGCCCAGCCCGCGGAGGGGTTGAAGTAGTAGGATCCGAACGGCGAGCAGTCGGTCTGTTGGAGCAGTCCGCCCCACGCTTCGCGGACTTCCGCCTCCGTCATGTCGACGACGCAGTCATCGCGACCGGCGCGGTGGAAATTCTGACGAACGCGGACGGCGGTGTCGCTGTCTTTCTCGTCCATGCAGATCCATCCACACGGATGGTGGACCCCGGCGGCTTGGAAGCTGGGGAGGGATTCCCAGGCCTCGAGGGCCTCGAATCCGAGGGTCATGTAGAGCGGATTGGAGTAGTCCGCGCGAATGATCTTGTTGATATCAGTAGAGGCTGCGGGAGACGGTGGTGCAGGACTGCGATCGAGGAGGACGATGCGTGGCTGCGGCGACTGGAGCGATAGATGGTAGGCCGTACTGACACCGAAGATCCCCGCTCCAACAATGAGGATATCATAGGGGGCATCTACCGTCATAATGAAAAGTTATCGGGGTTTGTCTGTAGCAGAACAAAGAACTGACAAGTACTTTGATAGAGAACAATAGGATTGTTAGGGAGAGAAAGATGAAAGAGAGAGGAGGAGGTGGAGGAGGAGGTGGATGAGGTGAGGGGAAGAAAGAATCCCTGAGGCTTATCTGATCCTCCGACATCATCGCTTCTTTTATCTCCCCCCAACAACTCCCTCCATCCAATGCTATATAAATAACCCTTCGCCTATTTTGCATATTCTCAATGTTCAGCATGGGCTGGGATCTCTGATATCCTTAATGCAACCTGATCTGGGAGCCTTTGACTACCGCCTTTGACTACCATCAGTCTACTTTCACTAACTCGCAGCCATGGGTACCCAGTGGATCAACTCTGATAATCTTGACCTCCTGCAAGAAACTGCAGACGCAATGTATACCAGCAAAGGCAAAGGCAAAGGCAATACCCAAAGGCTAGCTGACAAGATCACAGACAACCGAGTGCCGAGCTACATCCGAGGAGAGCTGCAGCTTCCCCGAAGGAAACTCGCGCCGCCTCCGCATGCCACCACTGCGACAGCCCGGCCCATCGTGCACGCCAATATCGTGACGCCTGGGCGCAAGGGCTCTACCAGCGGTATCCCTTCCCCGGCTCGCACTCGCTCGAACAGTCATCCCGCGCGTCCGGTGCTCTCAACTCTACCGACCCGTTCCAATGAGTCTGCTGTAACCCCTGCGACCGCGCCTTGCACTCCGCGGACTGGAACCCCCCCAGTGATGCGATGTCACCGGTGTCAGAAGCTGCTGGACGACAGCCCGATTATCTGGAATAACTACCCAGGAGGACGGCCTGGTAGCCCGCCCAGAACCACGAGGTGGCATTCCTATTGCCTGTTTGGGCTGATTGCCGAGGACACGTTGAGGCTCATTCCCCAGAAGGAAGCTCCCAAGAGTGAAGCTGTTGCGGCAAAGATATTCAACCGCTTTTTCGGTGGCGTAATGGGTTCTGCATGAAGCATTTTGCATCGGTTAGATAAGGCTCTTAGATTGTGACTCCTAGACTGTGACTGCTAGATTATGACTGCTAGATTGTGGCTCTGACTTAGATTGTGGCTCTTCCGATTGCTTTGGTGATTGCTGAAATGACATTTCTTTTTTTTGCTTTTACATTATTCTTGGCACATTCTTTATTTTGATAAAGAAATCTTTCTTTGAATTTCTCCTTGCGTTTTTGTGAGACGGGTAGAGTCCTAAGACACTTGCTAGCATTGCTGCGGCGCTATGGTGGGCTCGAAGCAGATATTCACAGATAGCATACTAAGTGTTTATCATAGTCTCTCTTTCGTAACGGGCGGAACTCTAATAGTATCAACTGTACAACTGAACACCTTCTTCTCCGTTGGTTTGTTTTGAGCACCCTTTCCTTTGTTCACAACCCTTAGCTTTGTGTTTACTCATTCAGCTCCTTGTTTCAAGTATGTAGTCTTCTTCACAACGCTCTTCCACTACAAGTGTCCATCGAGCCTTCATTATGCGATTATACAAAGATCAAGCAACGTTCTTCAGCGATAGGAAGGTAGTGTTGAACCTCCTCACGGTCATCGATAGCTATATAATTTGCCTACAGACCTCTGACTCATGAAGGCTAAAAGACCAAGATCTCCGTCTGGGCCCTTGTCAAACACGGATCGCCTCGGGACAACCACGCATCACTAAAGGCTTTAAGCTCGGAACACACACCATTATCACCATGTACCCCTTCGATGGTACGTATATTGATGCTTCCAATGGCAGTTGATTCGACCCAAGCACCATTCGGGCAAGGACAAGAAGGATCATAAGGATACTTCAAAGACCTCTGCCCACTCGTCCAAGAAGCACCACCATGAATCTGAGAAGGCACAAGCCCACCACGGCTACTGCAGTACCACCCACGAGGAGCACCCACCCCATCACACCGCGGAAGATTGGAAGGACCACGACCCGGCCCTCCGGATTCCCTACTCCTCAACTGACTACGAATCGGAGGCGGTCTGTGCCCTCTCAGCTGCGAAGCTGGTGATTTCGCCGAACTTCTGCTGGGAGGACGCCTTGTGGGCGGGCTGCTCGCGGCATCTGACCGGCTGGAGCAACGTGAAGACGCGGGTGGGGCTAGGGACGACTAAGCGACTCTGTTCGGTGGTCCTAGACACCGGCTCCCCGTTTAGCATCATGAGGCCCGATCATGCACGCGAAATCCCCGGGGCCAAAATCTGTCCCTGCGAGTCGCCATTCATGCTGCACGGCTGGGACCAGGAAGACGTCCAGCATGAAGTGACCGAGTACGTGGTCTTCCACATGTTCATCCCCGAGCATCTGGGCCGGCCAAACGAGGACCGGCGCTGGGCGCGCATCGTCGTCCGGGCCTTTTGTGTCCCCGGGACGTCGGACACCTTGTCTCTCGTGGTCGGCTCCTCCCTCATGGCCCAGGAAGGGATTACCCTCGATCTCAAGAATGGTGTCGGAGTGGTGAGCCCGGGGGATCTCGAGTTCCGTCTGGATATGGGTTATAATCCCGAGGCGCCGAATCGTAATGTCGAGTGAGTTCGTTCGTATCTACATGGATGCATACAGAGACTCGAGTACCTACCCAAATACAACACGTTGTTTATTCTCAGATTTACTATACTTTATTCGTATCTTCACTCTCTGTTTTCAACCGATGCCTCTACCGGATGCTGAAATCCACCCATATATACGTGTCTAACATATGCATACTTACAGCAACAGACCCATTTACATCGCCACCCCTCACAACCGCGCCACCTTAGCAACCTGCATTTGTTCCTCGCCCTGCGCCTCCTCCAACCACTCCACGATCGTCTCGACCAACCCATCAATCTCATCTTCTGTATTTCCCGCATGAAGACACACGCGCACGCGCTCCTGGCCCTCCGGGACGGTGGGCGGCAAGATGGCGCGCACGACGTACCCGCGGGCCTGGCACGCAGCCGCCAGCCGGCGGGGCAGGGCACAGCGCAGCGAGAAGATCGGGGACCCTGGGTGATGGTCGAGGGTGAACAGCGTCGCGTCCACCGGCTGGATCGCACTTAATCGCTCCCGGAGATACCGGATCCGCTGGTGCAGCGTTTCTTGCAACTATGTCGCGTCAGCTTACATGTCTCAATCTCTCTCTCTTCTCTTTTCCCCACAGATTAGGGGGACTACTCACCTCGACCGTCTCCCCGCCCTCCAACAACTCATACGCCGTGCGGATCGCCGCGAGGAACGGAAATCCCAGCGCGGTCGTATAAATCAGACTCCGCGCATAATTGATGAGGTATTCCCTCGTATCAGGGTCACAGAGCACGACCGCTACTCATTACACTAATGTTAGCAAGCGTTCGATCTCCCCCCCCGGGCATCCCCCATGACCTCGATCAAGAGGAAAACATACCACCATGACACCCCAAAGCCTTCCCAAACGTATGCACCCTCACGTACATGCGCCCCTCCAACCCCAACCCCTGCACGACCCCCGCGCCTTTCGGCCCACACACCCCCGTCGCATGCGCCTCATCCACGACCCAATACCCATTCCCGCGCGGCAGCAACGCATCCACCACGGCCACAAACTCCGTCAACGGCGCCACATCCCCATCCATACTGTACACGGACTCCACCACCACAAACACATTCCTGGAACCGTCCTGCAGCGTTGGGTCCACCTGGATCTGCGCGCTGAGCACCGCGTGCAGACTCTGCGGGTTGCTGTGCCGGAACGCCAGGGTTTGCGAGGCGCGGGACCGCCGCATGCCCTCGTGGGCGCTGGCGTGGATGGCTTCGTCGTACAGGATCAGGTCGTTGGGCTGCGGGAGCGTGGAGAGCACCCCCCAGTTGGCGTCGAAGCCGCTGTTGAAGAGGAGGGCGGAGTCGCTGTTGTGGAAGCGCGCGAGTTGGGTTTCTAAGGCTTCCGTGTAGGCGGAGTTGCCGTCGAGGAGGCGCGAGCCGCCGCTGGCGAGCGGGTGGGTGGGTGGGAGGGTGGTTAGGTGGTGTAGGTAGCGGCGTCGGTAGAGGGGGTTGGTGGAGAGAGAGAGGAAGTCGTTCGAGGAGAAGTCGGTGGCATTGTCGGCGGGGAGGGTCAGTTTGCGGAGGGTGTTGTTGCGGGCGCGTTGGTGCAGGGTTTGGCGGAGCGTTTGGCGGAGGGAAGATTGGGATGTGGATTTGGGTGTGTGTGAGGGGGAGGGGGAGGGGGAGGGTAATGGTGATGGAGAAGGTGAAGTTGAGGGGGGCATGATGGGCATGATGATGGATGAGGGTTTACGGGAGGTCTGTACAGTACAGTAGGCTACGATGTACATGTACCTCCTACAACCTGGGGATGGGGGGGGCTATATGAGTCTCGATTCTTTTTAGTCCACTCATGTGTAATGCCATTTGTCTGTTCTGGATCGGTAGTTCAGAAATTAGTTCGAGGCCAAGCAATAATCAGCTCAATCTCGGAAATGCTGGGAGGGGTGGGAGATGGGTGGAGTAAAGCAATCAATTTTATCGTTAGTTACTCCGTGATTATCCAGGTGAACTAACTAGGGTTACCGTTCGCCGGCTTAGAGGCTAGTAGGCCGCCTACAATAGGACTCGTAATGGGGCAGGGTAGGGCAGGGCAGGGGGCCTAAGAACAAGAGTCATCGTTCTGCCTATTTGTCAGATTCAACCTTGCCCAGAGCGATTGAATTAGATAGAATACGACCAGAAACCCCCCAGCAAATCCCTCTTGCAAATGGAAAATGTTGACTGTTGACTGTTCACTGTTGAGAGCCGGCTCCACTCCACCGAGCCTTTCCAAACTGCCTTGCCGGCTTTTAGTTTCAGTTTTCATCCTCGGTTCGGAGCTTCTTTTTTCGTCATTGTTCCATTTCTTATCGTTCCTGATTGTCTCTTCGCCCGCTTTTCTTCCCCACTTCCGTTTCCGCCCACCGGAAGAGACAGACTCTCGACCTTGGCCCTTTCAAGATAATAGCTACAACTTACAAGTGCTGTGAACTTGCAGCTGAGCTGAGGATTGTGATGAGGGCATAGAGAAATTCTCCATCGAGTTTGCAATTGAATCGCACACACCCCAAGAAAAAAAATGCCAGCCGCCGCGCTCTGGCGCTCTCTGCGCGCCCACCAGGTCTACGGCGCCAACACCGATGTTGGCAAGACCATCGTCTCGACGCTCCTGTGCAATGCCCTGCAGCATCACGGACCGGTGGGCTTCCTCAAGCCCGTCTCTACAGGGCCATTGAATGAAGCTGATGATCGGTACGGTGCTCCCATTCAATACACCCAAGCACACTACTAACGAATCCAAACGCAGCCACATCCAACGCTACGCCCCGCACACGCAGACCAAATGCCTCTACCAATTCGCCGACCCGGTCAGCCCGCACCTCGCCGCCCACAAGACGGGCACCGTGCCCAGCGACCCCGAACTCCTCGCCGCCATCCACCACACCCTCAGCACATGGTCGTCGCAAACCGCCACCAAGCACGCCCTCGTCGAGACCGCCGGCGGGGTGCACTCCCCGGGCCCCAACGGCACCTCGCAGGCGGACCTCTACCGCCCGCTCCGGCTGCCCATCATCCTGATCGCCGACTCCCGACTGGGGGGTATTTCGGCCTCCATCTCCGCTTACGAATCCCTCCTCCTGCGCGGGTACGACGTGCACTCCGTGCTGCTGTTCCGGGACGACTACTACCAGAACCACAACTACCTACAGGAGTACTTCGCCAAGAAGGCCATCCCGCTCGTCGCGGTGCCGGCGCCGCCGGCGCGGCCGGATCCGCGGGATGGGGAGGCTGTGAGTCAAGATGAGGAAGCGATGGGACGGTACTATGAGCGTACGGTACGGGAGGGCCGGTTGGGCGCGGTGGTCGAGGCGCTGGAGCGGAAGCATATGGAGCGCTGGGAGCGGTTGGAGGAGATGGCGCGCAAGGCCGAGGAGACGATCTGGTATCCGTTTACGCAGCATCAGGGGGTGACGGCCAAGGATATCGCGGTCATTGATTCGGCGTATGGGGATTATTTTCAGACTTATCGGGCGGCAAAGGTCGAGAATACCGGCGATCAGGGCGGGGGGAGTGCACTACGCTCGACGTTCGATGGGTCCGCCTCGTGGTGGACGCAGGGGTTGGGCCATGGGAACCCCGATCTCGCCCTGTCGGCCGCGTATGCAGCCGGCCGATATGGGCATGTCATGCTCCCGGGGAATATCCACGAGCCGGCGCTGGCGCTGGCGGAGACGGTGCTCCAGAGCCAGGAGAATCCCCGGCTCAAGCGGGTGTTCTACACGGATAATGGCAGTACGGGGATGGAGGTGGCGGTCAAGATGGGCCTGCGGGCGGCGTGCGCCCGGTACGGGTGGGATGCAAGCGCAGAACCCATCCGGATCCTGGGGCTGAAGGGCAGCTATCATGGGGATACGATCGGGGTCATGGATTGCTCGGAGCCCTCGACGTACAACAAGAAGGTGGAGTGGTATCGGGGCCGCGGCCATTGGTTTGATTTCCCCCTGGTGGGGATGAAGGATGGGGTGTGGAAGATCAGCATGCCGGAGACGGCGCTGGGAGATGAGCTGCAGTTTGGATCGCTGTCGGAGGTATTTGACCTGGAGCAGAGAGTGGACTCCGAGGCGGGCCAGCGGTATCGGGAGTATATTCACGAGACCATCCAACGGTTAGTGCAGCAGGAGGGAATCAAGTTTGGCGCGCTGATGATGGAGCCGATCATTTTGGGTGCGGGCGGAATGTTGTTTTGGTGAGTTTTATCTTCTCCATTCTTGTTCGTTTTTTTTTGTCTTTTGTTAGGGGTTGTGGCTGACTTAGGGCAATAGTGACCCCCTGTTCCAGCGGTGTCTGGCGGACGTGGTGCGCCAACACCCAGAGCTGTTTGCCCCTGGGCAGAGCTCCCCGCCTGCCGGAGCGAATGAGTGGTCGGGCCTACCTATCATCTTCGACGAGGTCTTCACCGGGCTGTACCGATTAGGGCGGCGGTCGGCCGCCTCTTTCCTGCAGGTGCACCCCGACATCTCCGTCAACGCCAAGCTGCTCACCGGCGGCCTCGTGCCGCTGTGCACTACGCTGGCCAGCGAGCCGATCTTCCGGGCGTTTTTGAGCGACGACAAGACCGATGCACTGCTGCATGGCCACAGTTACACGGCGCACGCGGTGGGCTGCCAGGTGGCGGTAGATTCGCTGCAGACGATGATGCGGATGGAGCGCGAGGGGGCCTGGCAGGAGTACCAGCACGATTGGACGGTGGCTAGCAGCGGCGGTGCTACTACTGCTGCTGCTGCTGCCCCTGCGGGGGCGCCTACGACGGGACCTTCGGTCTGGAGCGTCTGGTCCCACGACCTCGTGCGGGATCTGTCGCGGGCGGCCTCGGTTGAGGGGGTGTTTGCACTGGGCACGGTGCTCAGCATCGCTCTCAAGGATCAGCACGGCGGCGGCTACACCTCCCGGGCGGCGCAGGGGCTGCAGCAGCGCTTAGCCGCGGGGTCGGAGCAGTTCGCGGTGCATTCGCGGGTGCTCGGGAATGTGCTGTATTTGATGTCCAGCGTGACGTCCAAGCCGGAGTCGCTTCGGGCAATTGAGGAAGTATTGCGGGGGGGATTGCTGTAGGTGGTCGCCTTGTAGGTGGGGGAAGAGAGTTCTCCGGGGGAGGATTCTGCCGAGCCTTTGAGGAAGTGTACATACAAGGTAAAAGAAGTGTATATAGCCGGCTATCAGTTCGAGTAATAGAATTCTACTGTACTTTCACCTCTGTGTTCCATAAGTCTATTCAATTGATCACAGAAAATCAAATAATTGTTTTCATTTACTTGTATTCGTTCTGTTGTCCATTTCGAATTAACCTGCTTGCGTGGCTGTAGCTGATGACTCAGCGTCTGAGTAATCCATCTTCACCGGGAGGGCTGCCCGCTTATCCACCAATCAACGAACAGGCAAATGCGGTGTTTATTTTGTGTTGATTCAACCTGATTGACATCACTTTCCCTCACTTTCCCCATAGTGTGGCGGGTACCTGACCAACCAAATAGACTAATCGAAATGACAATCGGGACTTGTCTCAATCCGCGGGTCTCCTTTGGTCCGAGAAGCCCAGAAGAGTGGAGCATGGCTGTCTGGGTGTCGGAGGAGTCTGGCCTGGTGGTGAGTTGGATCTGCAAGTCCCGTTGAAGTCAATTGCACACTGCATGGGGAGGGGTTGAACCCCCAGCGGTTGGGGTCAACACGACCGGTGAGGTTGTTGCCTGTAGCCCACAGCCTGCCCCTCTCGCCCCTCTCCAGCCCGAGGTTGTGTGAAGCTTGTCCAGCACTGAGTGACTGGCCAGTCCAGTCCGTGTTCGGGGGGGGGGGGGGGGTTGCTACTTGCTAGACAACTAGCCCAGTCATTATCGTAGATAGACTCGAGGACAGTACCCTGCCCTAGTCACCACGCAACTCCGAACCCCGGTCTAGTTTGTCCATCCCCCCCCTCTTTCTTCCTGCACCTCCTCCCACACCACCCTTTTCTTTTCTCTTCTTCTCAGTTTCGACCTTTCTTTCGTAAAAAAAAAATACGAACACATTGAGAATGATCTCGCTACGACAATTCGTACCGCGGACCGCGTTCCGCCGCGCCTACGGCACAGTGCAGTCGACCTCGCCCAGTGCGGCGGCGCTGGCGAGTCGAGTGCCGGCGGTGCTGCGAGAGGCGACGGATGCCACGACGCCGCGCACCAACTGGACCAAGGAGGAAATCCAGCAGATCTACGATACCCCGTTGAACCAGTTGACCTATGCTGCGGTGCGTACCACCACACTGCAGTCAATGAGCACAATTCACCACAACCCCCCCCCCTGAACTGCCTACTAACGCAGCAAGAAATAGTCCCTCGTCCACCGCAAATTCCACGACCCCTCGGCCATCCAAATGTGCACGCTCATGAACATCAAAACCGGCGGCTGCAGCGAAGACTGCAGCTACTGCGCCCAGTCCACGCGGCACAACACCGGCCTGAAAGCCACGAAGATGTCCCCGGTCGACGAGGTCCTGGCGGCCGCCCGCACGGCCAAAGCCAACGGATCCACACGGTTCTGCATGGGCGCGGCGTGGCGCGACATGCGGGGCCGCAAGACCTCGCTGAAGAACATCAAGTCGATGGTCAGCGGCGTGCGCGAGATGGGGATGGAGGTGTGCGTGACGCTGGGGATGATCGACGAGGCCCAGGCCAAGGAATTGAAGGATGCCGGGCTGACGGCCTACAACCACAACCTCGACACCTCGCGCGAGTTCTACCCGTCCATCATCACGACGCGGTCGTATGATGAGCGGCTGCGCACGTTGGCGAATGTGCGCGACGCGGGCATTAATGTGTGCAGTGGCGGGATCTTGGGGTTGGGGGAGAAGGATGAGGACCGCGTGGGGTTGATCTTTACGGTGGCGAATCTGCCGAAGCACCCTGAGAGTTTTCCGGTGAATGCGCTGGTGCCGATTCCGGGGACGCCCTTGGGGGATCGCAAGATGATTCCGTTTGATCGGTTGTTGCGGACGGTCGCCACGGCGAGAGTCGTGCTGCCCGCGACGATTGTGCGGTTGGCGGCCGGGCGGATCTCGTTGAGTGAGGAGCAGCAGGTGGCGTGTTTCCAGGCCGGCGCGAATGCCGTGTTTACTGGGGAGAAGATGTTGACTACCGATTGCAATGGCTGGGATGAGGATCGCGAGATGATGGATCGCTGGGGGTATTATCCTATGAAGAGCTTTGAGAGGGAGGGGTTGGAGGCTGAGGTGGCTGGGAAGAAGGAGGAGGCCGAGCAGGCGGCTGTCTTGGAGGAGAAGGTGAGGGAGGTGTCTGCGCAGGTCGCGACCAGCTTGTGATTTGGGTTTGTTGTTAGTGTTTAGATTTCGAAATGGCATTTATGATTCGTATGGTCTGCATTGTGGTGGTTTGGTTGGTCTGGATTGGATTTTGTGTTCGCATATTTGGCTTGGTTCATTCGCTGTAATCAGGTTGATCTAGTAGAGTGAGACAGAGCATGAATTCATCATGCATTCCTCCAAGATACAAGGCATTATCTTCACCGGATATCAAACTACGCCCTCTCCGTCTCGAAATCCTTCTGCACCCGCGCCGCAAACTCATCGTCCACCAGCACCTGACACGCGACCACCGCCATCCCCGCCGCGCACGCCATCCCCCGCTGATACGCCTCGAGCGAGCCCGCGCCCTTGGTGAATCCGGGCGTGTGGTTGACCCCGTCGGTGGGGATGGTGAAGATGCCATGGAAGCCGGGCACGGCGTACGACACGTTACCTGGTCTGGTGAGTACACTCCCAAGCAATGAAGACCAACCGGAAATAAATACGCACCCTGATCCGTCGACGCCCCGGTAATCGCACTCTTCTGCCCCGTATTATCGAACAAGGTGAGATGACCCATCGCCCGCATGACGGCGACGTAGCTCTCGCAGATCGGGTTATTAGTCTTGAGATCCGCATACGACGGGCCCCTACCAACTCGAACATCAGCATACCCCTCAACTCAACTCACTCTCAAAAACAACAGGACATACCACTCAAACGCCACCTCGCACCCCGTGGCCACCGCCGCCGCCTCAAAGCACTTGACCACCCGCTCCGACAGCCCCTTCAACGACTTCACCGTGGGCGACCGGATGTAGTAATCCACGGACGCGCTGCGCGGGATGACATTCGGCCGCTCCCCGCCGTTCACAATCACCCCGTGCACCCGCTGCGTGGGCAGGATCTGCTGCCGCAGCAGCGAGACATTCACATACGCCGCCACCACCGCGTCCAGCGCGTTGACCCCCTCCCACGGCGCCGCCGCCGCGTGCGCCGGCTTCCCCGTGAACGTCACCCGCAGCTTGTCGTTGGCCAGGTACCCGCCCGGCAGCACGGTGGCCAGCGTCAGCAGCTGCGGGTTCTGCGGCGCCATCGGCACCGGGTGCACCATCAGGCACGCGTGCACCCCCTTGTACGCGCCCCGCTCCAGGAGCTGGATCTTGCCGCCCCCGGATTCCTCGGCCGGCGTGCCGAGGAGTTTCACGGTGAAGTCGGCGGCGGCGGTTGATGATGATGCGGTGGCTTCAGGCCGCATGGCGTGGCAGGTGGCTAGGAAGGCGGCGATGGAGCTCGTCGCGATCAGGTTGTGGCCGCACGCGTGGCCGATGCCGGGTAGGGCGTCGTATTCGGCGTTGAAGGCGACGACGCGCCCGCGCGACGGGTCGCCGTGCGTGTAGGTAATCTCAAAAGCGGTGGCAATGTCGTAGGCGGAGCGCTGGATGGTGAAGGTGAACTCCGTGGTGGTGGAGAGGGTGTCGAAGAGGGTGCAGATGGCGTCGTGGGCTTGGTGTTCCTCGTACGCTAATTCGGGGTTGGACCAGATCTGGTGACTGGGTTAGCTCGAGTGGTTGATGAAGGTTCATGTCTGTGATCAATCTCTGGCGGCTTTCATGTCACGTAGGTGATCGATTGGGAAGGCTACCTTTTGGTTGATGTTCTGTAGTTGGGTGTCATAGTTGCGCAGGGCTTCTTGGACGCTTGCGATGAAGCGTTCTTGGGCGGTTTGAACAGTCATCTTGGGTGATTTGGCAGTTGAATCCTGCCTCCTCGTGAGGATAAGACATGATGGACGCTATTTTATATCTGTGCGACTCAGACCGTCAAAATCTCCCCCCTCTGGTGATGCGGAGATGCGGAGATGCTCGCCGCAGTTCATGCCCGGCTTATCAGGCATTCCATTCCACCCGCTTATCGATCGGCTGCATTGCCGAAGCGGAGTGGGCTCCGCTTGCCGACTTATTGGTTGAATGGCACTGACAGTCACCTGACCACTGCCGACCCAGCCAATCGCGTTGTCTGCCTCGGCACTTTGCGCGGCCCGGCTGTTCCTCCGGAGTGGCTGCCTTTTGGACAATATCGCGACGACGAGATCATCGGCACTCTTCCCCTCACCTTGCAGTCTTCCTATCGCTTAGCATTGGCTTATCTGCGTGGCAGCATCGCTTACAGCCTGTCAGTTATCACATTGATCGAATATACATGACCCTGACAGACCCCCACTCGATACAACGCCCTCGCATGCAAATGACCAAGTGGAGCGCTGCCGAACTCCAGCAGCACTATCGGGATGCATAAGCTCGGCAAGAAGACTCGCTCCAGGACCGGTGAGGATCCACTCGGATACCCTGTCAGGAATAATCTTGGAATGATACACCGATCGACTGACGTTACGCAGGCTGTCGCACGTGTCGAATCCGCAAGGTCAAGTGCGACGAGGAGAAATTGGCCGTCCCTGGCCAGCCTGAACCGCAATGCCGGCGTTGCACCGCCGCCCGCATCCTGTGCGAGTGGAAGGGCGGCCCTATCCCCCGGTCTACTGCCAGGAGAAATGTTCCCGCATCCACGACCAAGGGAGTGGAACAGAAGACGGAGGGGAATGCGGGTAGCCCGGCCCATAGTACGACCACACGAAAGAGCCCCCCCGTAACAACAACGACGACGACGACGCCGCCGCCCCCTCAGTCTTCCAGGATTCTCACCCTATCGTCCCCCGGGGGCAAAAGCAGGACCGTGCAAGCGGCCAACTCACTTGTACTGACCGGCTTCGACCGCTCGTGCATCGCCTACCTCCAAGATTCCGCGCTGGTTGTACTTCTTGGCAAACACTGGCCGTGGTCCGCCATGTCGTACGCCTACCACAAGATCGCGGTCCGGGAGCCCATGGTAATGAGTATGTTGTTGGCGAGCACGGCGAGCGAGATCCGTCGCGCCCAGCTCTACGATAGTGACCAGCCGCGGGACGCGGTCGAGACGGTGGCGGATCTGGGGGGTCGCATGCATTACGGGCGGGCGCTGGCCGGTCTGCGGGAGGCACTGCGGCCGGAGGTTGAGAAGTCGTCGGAGCAGCTGGAGGCCATCTTCATCACTTTGTGGCTGATGATCGACTACGAGAACCGCTTCGGGAGCGGCACCGCGGCCATCAATGTGCACATCCGGGGAATTGAGAGTTTGCTTTTCAACCATGTCGTTCCGTTGCTGAAGCCTGCGTCATCAGCACCCGCGCTTGTTGCAGAAAGTGGAAGGGCAGGTGCCGGCGCCTTGCCCTGGGGGGACGCAACGAACACCGCTGAAGATAGCACCCAGAGGACGACCATAATGCCGACGAATAGTTTGCCTGGGCTGGCGACCAGCAAACTCCGTCACACCGCGGTACCACTCTTCCTGCTGTGGACGCTGTACTTCTTCACTCCCGGGGCCCTCTTCTGCGGGCCTGCGGCCGCGCGACTCGACGCCGACCTATTCCGGTTCTTCATCCAGGACGAAGCCGAACAAAGAGGCCTGAGCCTGGCGGAGCTCTACCGCATCGGCCGCCAATCGCCCCGCCGCTTCTGGGGCGACTCGTACCCGACAACAGCCCAGCTGGACGACATCGAGAACCAGCCGGCGTTGATCCTCTACCACCGAAGCCATGTCATGCAGTTCAAGATCACCGAACTCTGGCGCCAAGGCCAGCAGACGTCGGAGGTATCGTATCGTCGCCTCGTCGACGAACTCACCCTGATCCTGGAGGTATGCATGCGCCTCATAGACTTCCATCTCAGACATGCTAACTCCCCCCACAAGGAAAACGACAGCATCCTCACCACCGCCCTTACCGCGCCAGCCTGCGACACCGCCAGCCGGCGCGTCCTGGAAACCATCTTCTGGGCGACCATCACCTTCTACGGCACGATCGTGTACTTCCACCTCTGCTTCAAGGACACCGTCCCGCCGACGTCGACCACCACCACCCAACAACACACCGCACAGCTACCCCCCCTGGAAACCGCGGTCAACCAGGTATTATCTCTCTCGCTCAAACTCCACCGCAGCCGACCCCACCTGATGGTTCGGATCATCTGGCCGCTGTTCATCGCGGGGATTGCGACGCCGGACCGCATCTACCAGGATTGGGTATCGATCCGGCTGCAGGAGCTAGGCCGGTACGGGCTGAACTACAGTCGCGTGAGTCGGCGGTTCGACGAGATTGTGATCCAGGGATGTGACCCGTTCGTTTCGATCTCTGCTTCTTCCGCTGATGTTGATGCTTCTGCCCATACGGCAGAGGGGATGCTGGATGTGGAGGATCTGGGGCCAGGGCTGGGGCTGGGGCTGCCGATGCGGATTGGTTGAGTACTACGGCCGTACGAAGGGAGTCAGTCGCATTGACGGCCCCCTAAACCAGGTCCAGCCCGGTCGCTGGGCTTCCATGTTTCGGTCGAACAAGAAATAGACACGGGGCTTGAGGCAGGCATGCGACATGCTGTGGCTTCAGGGAATGATTCTAGAAGCTAGTACTTTTTTTTGGTATGCTGTGTTCTTGCTTGGCGGTGATGCAGGATCTGGGTCATGATACATATTTTGCTTGTTTACTTTTACTAATAGAAACCAGAGATCCCGTCGCTGGGCTGGGGTTCATCACCAAGGATGATGCGTGCGGGGCACGCTGAAGAGAGGCGAGGCTGTACGCCCAGCAATTACACTGAACCTTACACAAGAGCGGGGGGAGTACAACACACGTTACTTCATAGCAGGAATCGCTACCGGAAACGGAAACGCAAACGCCAACGCCAACCCCCAAGACCAAATCCAAGACCAAAACCACCATATTCCAGAAAACACGCCAGCCAACCGCACCCCAAAACACCAGGACACCACCCTTACCCACCCCAAGCCCGTGAGGCCAACCGATATCTAGAATACCTGCACGCATTCTTGGCGACAGACTCGGCGGCACCACAAATAACACACAAAAAAAAACCCCCCGGATAGTCGGCAAGGAAGCAAGCACATCATACCAACACACACACAGCGAAGAGATTCAACTAGGATTATGCTTCAACGAGGCCTGACAGATCGGACACCGATATCGATGCTGCTCGACCCACAGGACCAAGCACGCGGCATGGAAGACATGGTCACAGCGATTCAGCACCACCACCTCATCCTGTTGGGGATGCGGTTGCGGCGGCTGTTTTTCAGTGGGTGCATGCTGCTGCTGCTGCTGCTGCTGCTGCTGCTCCGCGTCTAGCTCCGTGGAGCAAGAAGACGAGGAAAGCGATAGCGGCACCGACCCGCGGCGCCAATCGCCCAATCCGGATTCCATTCCTAATCCCCGTTCGAGATCGGAGTCTACTGCGCTGGTCGGTGCCAGCACTCCGCTGCCGCTGTGGTAGCATCGCTGGGGAATCCATGCGGGTTTTGGCTGTGTTGGTGGGAGGTTGGTGGTGGTGGTGGTGGTGGTGGGAAACTTCTCGTTTTCGTCTACTTTGAGACGCTCGAGACAGATGGCACTAGCAGGGCATAATATTAGCATAATAGCATAACTTTTGCGCAATTCCGAGGACGGGGTGGCAAATCGCGATAATCCACGGAGATAGGCGATGCGATGGGTCCTGATATCCAAGAAATGAGATAGATAAGGGAGGGAGGAAATCCTCGCCAAGGGATTCCGCCAAGAATCTCCGCCAAGAAGGGACTCTTGGCTTGCCTCTCTCTCTCTCTTTCTCATTGAATCCTCCGAATGCGCGGGGTGGGGGGGAGACAACCGATGACATAAGCAGCAACCCAAAGCGAAAAGCATACGAAATCAGACAGGGAAAGGAGGGCACTGCACAGGGAAAGACGACCCAGCCAAGCCAGGCCAAGAAAAGAACCCCAAAACAACCAAAGTTTCTGGACCCCGCCGGATGCGGAAACCCAATAAGACAGAAGTGGAAAAACGTACCAGGATTCCTGGGCATAATGCCAGGTCTCGTTGGTGCCCGAATGGGTTTGTTCTTCGAGCCAGCGTTCCACGCTGATGGGCAGCTGTTGCATTGAGGGACTGCCAGTCAGCGCTTGGAGGGCGCTGTCCCGCCGGAGGGGGTCGGAGGGGGTCGCGGTGGAGGATGTGCCGCCGGCCGCGGCGGCGGTGGCGGCGCGACGTCGGCGACGGTGCCATGTTAGAGCTCTTGCGTTGTTGCCATATTGTTAGTGATATTGCTGTTGATGCCGTTGATACTGGTGAAGAGTGTTTGATCGTGTTGGGGGTCTGTAGGATCTGGTGAGGTCACTGTTCGGTGACCCTCCCCTCCCCTCCCTCATCTCAACTTAGAGCAAAACCAAGAAGTCAGGAAACATCCCAAGACCACCCCAAGATCTTGGCGCCATGACACTCAGTATGTGGTACGCCGGAAAACGAGATAAGGGCTTGGCGGCTTTCCTTGAGAGGCTCTTTCCTTTGGGGTAAGGTAGGGCTGGAGGGGGGTGGGGGGGGGATGTGGGTGGGCGGAGACCAAAATGACGAATCTCTCGCGAATGAGCGCTCCTCCACCCACCCAACCGACACAAACAGCTTCGGGAAAGGGAAGCAGACAACAGAGAGAGAAACTTACATGGGCAGAAAGCTAACGACGATGAACAAAGCCGCGGCTCCGATGATCACGCCGACGATTTCGCCACTGGGGGGGGGAGGGCCGTGCTCCGTCATCGGCAATGATAGTTGATAAAATTGATTGATATAAGTATGATTATGCGAATCGAAATATGATCAGGGAATCGATGGAGACCACGTGAAACTGCGATGCGTGAGAGGTATGATGTATAAACGTATTTCTACATAAAAGTTGATGTAAGGATTAGTAGTCAGACAGACACGCAGGGCGTTCAGCCGTGGCAAGTAGCAAGCATAAGATAAGTTCGAAAGAGCTAATGCAGTATGTAGTAGAGAGCAGAGAGCAGAAAAGTAAGAGAACGAAAAAAAAAAAATAATAACACAAAAATTTCGGACCAGCCGACCGGGGAGAGAACACTTTAAAGTGTGTCCCCCTATTTGTTCTGAGTACCAGTCAGTGTTGCTTTGTTGTTTCAACTCGACCTCTCCCTTCTTTCGCCGGACGGCATCACGCAGGAAGGGACCGAAGGAAAACGGGAACCCCAACACGAGGACAGACTAAAGTGAAACTGTACTGTACGATGCGATGCATCTTCCCGCCAAGGGCTGGGCCGGGCTGGGCCTCCTTCTGCTCTTTCTCCGCGCTGCGGAACCGGCTTGGTAGTGAACCAGCGGGTACACACCCTGGCTCAGCTAATCACATCCCCATATCCAGCCCATGCAGTCACACTTCCACTTCCTTCCCCAGACTTGAAACCATGGATGCAAGCACAATTGTCTGCGTCATGGTTGCAGCGGCGAATCCTCTCACTGGATCGTAGGGGTTCTTGGCCGAGTCTGGGCATGACAGTCTCCCCAATTGCCTCCCTATTGCCCCCATTTCATCAACTGTCTCAGTAATGGGCTTATCGCCGAAGCGAGGTATGTCGAGCGCTGGTGAATGGAGGTAGTCGGAGATGATAGAGTTATATAAGGCTGTGTTCCCATCGTTCCTCGGTTCTAGGACATATTCCAAATCGATCGGATGCCAGATCTAGCTAGAACTTTTTATTCAGCGAAGACATCTAGACTATTGATGATTACATGGTTTAGAGTACACTGCCATCATCTATGACATCTTCCAGATAGATTAGATTACTTGCTTTCTTTTATCTTTTGATTATCAATCTTCGACCTATGAACCACCTGACTCGGTTCTCGACTGGAAGATGAAATCCAAATCTAACAACAACAGCAACAACAACACCCCCGGCACGCGTCTGTCTCAACCGGCGCACTCGTTACCCTGGGAGACCATCCTCCAGGAACTGCACGTGAACCCGGACCAGGGGCTTTCCAGTGCGGAGGCGGGAGCGCGGTTGCAGCAGGATGGGCCGAATGAGCTGGAGGATGACGAGGGGGTCTCGTTGTTGACGATCGTGATTCGGCAGGTGGCGAATGCGATGATGCTGGTGCGTTGATCCCCTGGTTATCTACACCGTTTCTTGAAAGACAAGAAGCTAACACCCGTCAAGGTCCTCATCATCGCCATGGCCGTCAGCTTCGGCATCCAATCCTGGATCGAAGGCGGAGTGATCGCGGCGGTGATCGGGCTGAACATCGTCGTGGGCGTGTACCAGGACTTCGCGGCGGAGAAGACGATGGGGTCGCTACGGTCGCTGAGCTCGCCGACGGGCACCGTCACCCGCGACGGCAAGACCAAGACGGTGCCGGCCAAGGAGCTGGTCGTGGGCGATGTCGTGGAGTTGAAGGTCGGCGATACCGTGCCGGCCGATGTTCGGTGAGTTTGCCTTTGCCCTTACTCTCCCAGAATTCAAACTGACCGCGCAACAGTCTCATCGAAACCATGAACCTCGAAACCGACGAAGCCCTGCTAACCGGCGAATCCCTCCCCATCGCCAAAACCCCGCACGACACGTATGCGGTAGAAACCGGGCCCGGCGACCGCCTCAACATCGCCTACAGCTCGACGACGATCACGCGGGGCCGCGGGCGCGGCATCATCACCAGCACCGGCATGGCCACCGAGATCGGCCTCATCGCCGCCGCCCTGCACGCCTCCAACCAGTCCACCCGCTACAAGCGCCGCACCCCGCGCACCAACCCGGAGGACAACACCCCCAAGAAGCGCGAGAAGGTCATCAACCCCCTCGCCAATCTCTGCCTCTCGACCAGCGCCTACGTCCTCAATTTTCTCGGGCTGAATACCGGGACGCCCCTGCAGCGGAAACTCTCGGCGCTGGCGCTGGTGCTCTTTGGGATCGCGGTGGTGTTTGCGCTGGTGGTGATGGGGGCGAATGGCATGCGGAATGATCGCGAGGTCATTATCTATGCGGTTGCCACGGGGCTGGCGATGATCCCGGCGTGTCTGGTGGTGGTGTTGACGATTACCATGGCGGCGGGGACGCGGTCGATGGTGAGTCGCAACGTGGTGGTGCGGCGGTTGGAGAGTCTTGAGATGTTGGGGGCGGTGCAGGATGTTTGTTCGGATAAGACGGGGACGTTGACGCAGGGGAAGATGGTCGTGAAGAGGGCCTGGGTGGCGGGTGTCGGGGGGTTGGTGGTCGTGGGTGAGGGCGGTGATGTCCTCGATCCGGGGAATGGGGACGGGGTGAGGTTGGTCTCTGGGCAGGAGGTCGAGGCAGGAGGGGAGAAGGAGAAGGGAGCGAATCCAGAAAGTGACGCTCAACCCTGGGAAGCGCGCAGGGAAGGCTTGTTGAATGCCCACGGGTCGGGCACCCTGTTGCAGCAGTACCTCGATGTCGCGGCCATGGCCAACCTGGCCCACGTGCATTACTCGGATGAGTCGAATGAGTGGCAGGCTCGTGGCGAGCCCACGGATATCGCTATCCAGGTCTTCGCGATGCGCTTTCAGTGGGGCAGGGAGCGGTGGACGGGCGGCCGGAACCCGGTCTGGACGCAGAAGGCCGAGTATCCCTTCGATTCGACCGTCAAGAAGATGTCGGTGATCTTCGAGAATACTGAGACCTCGGCCCAGATGGTGTTCACCAAGGGTGCAGTGGAGCGGGTGCTGGAGGCGTGTACGCAGGCTGTCTGGTCCGCAGGCGCAGACGCCACTCCGCTGGACGAGGAGAAGAGGCAGGAGATTCTCCAGAAGATGGAGGATCTCGCGAAAGAAGGTCTGCGTGTGCTCGCGCTGGCCTGTCGGCCGATTGAGCCCCGCGACGAGACGCCCGCGCGCGAGGAGGTGGAGAAAGATCTCACCTTCTGCGGGCTGATCGGGCTGTATGATCCGCCACGGCCGGAGACGGCGGGGGCGATCGAGGAGTGTCGACGCGCGGGGATCACGGTGCACATGGTGACGGGCGACCACCCGGGCACGGCGCGGGCCATCGCGGCGCAAGTCGGGATTATCCCGCGAGACATGGCCAGCGTCGCGCAGGACGTCGCCGACGCGATGGTTATGACGGCCAGCCAGTTCGACCGACTGAGCGACGAGCAGATCGACGAGCTCCCGACCTTACCGCTGGTCATCGCCCGCTGCGCGCCCACCACCAAGGTGCGCATGATCGATGCCCTGCACCGACGCGGCCGGTACGCCGCCATGACCGGCGACGGGGTCAACGACTCGCCCTCCCTCAAGCGGGCGGACGTGGGCATCGCCATGGGCCAGTCCGGCTCCGACGTCGCCAAGGACGCTTCGGAACTGGTCCTGACTGATGACAACTTCGCCTCGATCATCAATGGCATCGAGGAAGGCCGCCGCATCTTCGACAACATTCAGAAGTTCGTCCTCCACCTTCTCGCCGAGAACGTCGGCCTCGCCCTGACCCTGCTCATCGGGCTGGCCTTCAAGGACGAGAACGGCCAGTCCGTCTTCCCCATCGCGCCCGTGGAGATCCTCTGGATCATCATGGTCACTTCTGGCCTGCCGGACATGGGACTGGGGATGGAAGTGGCGGCTCCGGACATCATGGATCGACCACCTCAAAGTGTACGTTAGCCCTTACTTCTCGAAAAGAAAGTCCTCAACTAACCACCCCCTCAATAGAAACAAGGCATTTTCACCTGGGAAGTGATAATCGACACCCTAGTCTACGGCGTGTGGATGGCAGCCCTCTCCCTCTCGGCCTTCTCGCTGGTGCTCTTCGCCTGGGGCGACGGCAACCTCGCGACGGGGTGCAACAGCGACTACACCTCGGCCTGCGACACGGTCTATCGCGCACGCGCCACCACCTTCGTGTGCATGACCTGGTTCGCCCTGTTCCTGGCGTGGGAAATGGTCGACCTCCGCCGGAGTTTCTTCAGCCTGCCGATTACCGGTGCCGAAGATCAGTCTAGCACCAGAACGTTCGTGTCCCGACTGAGAGGCTGGCTCGCCTCCCTCCGCCGCAACCGCTTCCTCTTCACGGGCATCATGATCGGGTTCGTGACCACCTTCCCGATCCTGTACATCCCCGTCATCAACGACGTGGTCTTCAAGCACATCGGGATCTCCTGGGAGTGGGGGGTGGTGTTTGTCGAGGCGGGGCTGTTTTTTGTGGGTGCGGAGGGGTGGAAATGGGCCAAGCGGGTGTATTTCCGGCGGGTGGCACATAAATTGCGGCAGGATGGAAAGGGTGGTCGTGGGAGGCTGATGGAGAGGGAGGAGAAGAGGGATTTTAGTCGGTATACCACGATGAGTCGCGAGGAGGGCGGCGGGGTCATGCAGAAGGAGGTGTCGATGGTTTAGATCTCGTTTTCTTTGTGGCTGGAGGTGGTGAGAAAATTACGGGGGGATAGATTCTCTGATAGATTGTGCATAGTTTCTTAATTGCGTTGATTGATGAATCGTTGATATCTTTCTACTTTGGGGAAGCGGTCTTGAGGCTTTATTGATCCTCGATTGGCAAATAGCTCTGCTCCTACTTGAGGAATTGTGTATTGGTCATTGAAAACTCCTTTTTGCCTCTACGTCAGAAAGAAAAAGTTGAATTAACTGATATCACATTTTTGGAGTGATAGTGATCTTAATCAAGATAAATCGAAGAGATTTCGGCCATCTAATATTTTTTTTTTTGGTGGTTGAAATTGAACTACCGTATAAAAGAACGTATAGATATCAAAAGCGGAAAAAAAGCTGAACATCATAATCA